GGGTAGTCGTGAACAATTTAATATAGATACTAGTTGAATGGGAAGAAGAATATCTATTTTATAAGTAATTGTAGGAGATAAAACAAAACAGTTCAGAAGACAAAATGGAAAGGAAACAATAAGGAATTATTGAAAAGAAGAAAGTATAAAATAAGTACAATCAAGCTAAAAAAATTATGACAAGTATAAATGTCTTAAATTTCTCTATTCAAATGGAAAGATCTTCACATTAAATTAAAATGAAAGTCTTATGATTTGGTAGTGCTTAAAAGATTCATACTTAAAGAAAAATGACATGGAAATACTTTTTAAAAGGGCAAAGATTTTGTAGCCTAACATGGTCACAAGCAGATTTTTTTCAAAAAACAGTAAATAAGACAAAAAGGACTATTTTATAATTATTGTTAATGTAATATTAGTAAAGGAATAATGGCACTGAAAAATAATGCATTAAATAAGCTTAAACCTAAAATAACTCAACATGCTTTTTAAAAACACAGTAAAGCTCATCATAGCAAAATAATGAAAATAATGTATACCCAAGCAGTGCAAAAGTTTACAAAATTAGAAACTAATGAAATATTTCATATTGGTAAATTAAATAAGAAGTAAATGATTATTTTCATAGGTTGTTTTGTAAAGCGTTAGATAAAATTTAATACTTGTTCCTGATAAAATGATAAGAAGAAAAAATAAACTATTTTTTAGTATGATAATAAATATTTTTAACTAATAGTCAATATTAAAATTAACATAAAATACTAGAAATATACATGTTTAAAAACAGGCGTGGGGTAGAAGTTGGTCTAATGGTTCTGTCATAATAATGTTATTAAACATTATTTTTAAAGCCCTTATCAATATAATAAAACATACTAAAGAAAGAAGACCTTGGGGCACCTGGGTGGCTCAGTTAGTAAAACATCTGCCTTCAGCTCAGGTCATGGTCTTGGTGTCCCCGGATTGAGCCCTGAGTTGGGCTCCTTGCCCAGCGAGGAGTCTGCCTTTCCCTCTCCCTCTGCCCTCCCTGCCCTGCTCGTGCTCTCTCTCTCTCTCAAATAAATAAATAAAATCTTTTTTAAAAAAATAATAAAGACCTATAAAGAGTGAAAAAATATACATTATCATTATGAGTGGAAAAATATTTTTGTAGCTTGAAAACCCAAAGAAGTGAACAAAAATGTGAATAGACTTAATAAATTAGTAGAATATTGGCAGACATATGACTATTAACATAAATCAGTAGTATTTCTACATATTAGCAATGATTAGCTTAAACATAAACCTCTAAGAGATACTTATTTTACAAGAGCAACAAAATGTATAAAACTCTGAGTTTAAACAGAAATATGTTACCTATCTAAATGAAACTTTTTGAGAGCTATAAAAATATTAAATTAATCAAAAGATTGGTTTCTGGTGTAAAAAAATAACATTTTAAAATTCTTGGGGCTCCTGGGTGGCACTTAGAAGTTAAATTTCTCACTCTTAGTTTCAGCTCAGGTCATGATCAGGTCATGACCTCACGGTCATGAGATCGAGCCCTGAGTCAGGCTTTGCACTCAGTGGGGAGTCTGCCTGAGATTCTCTCTCCCTCTGCCCCTACAACTCCTCTCTAAAATAAATAAATAAATAGATAGATAGATAGATAGATAGATAGATAGATAGATATTGTTAATTCTTTCCAAAGTATAGACTTAATGGGAAATCTAATAATAATGTCTCTTTTGTTTTTTACATTTTAAAGTAATGGTGAGAGGAACTTGATTTTGACATAAATCTGGAAAAGAAAGTAGGCAAGAATAGTAAAAATCAATTCTAAGAAAGAAAAGTAATGAGGACAGACTAGTCTTATCAAATATTAAAATATAAAGTTATAATAATTAAAACCATGTGATACTGGCACCAAAGTAAATTAATGAGGCAAAATATGTGGTCAAAATAAATCATATTTTATATAATAAAGGAATATTTGATAATATCAGAACACAAATCAATGGGAAGGGAAAATATTTTACAATATATGGACTGATAAACTGGAAAAAAATCAATTCATATACTCATGATACACCTATAATAAAATAGCAAAAAAAGTAAAATAGCAAAACTTAAACTGTAGGAAGTCTAAAGGGATTTGTTTTTATAAGCTTAGAATAGTGTAACAAATTGCAAAAGTAAAGATAAAATAGATTTGGTTATATTAAGACAGCAATAAAAAAAAACAAACACCAGGCAAGGTACCATTATTTGAACATAACGAAAGGGTCAATAATCATATTATTAACAGAAGCTTATACAAACTCCACAGCTAAGAACTAATACAAGAGATAAGAATAGAAGAGAATCTAGCCAATATATGAGATAAGACTAAAATCACATTTCACAAAAGATGAAATATAACACATTTGCAAACAAATAAAAACATTCAGCCTTACTAATAATCAATTGGATATACACTAAAACGAAAATAAGCTGTATTTAGGTTTAATCAGTTATTTTAAAATTAATGTCAAGGATTTACATTCCCAGCTGTTATGGATTATTTTCATTTGGATCAACTTATCCTCTGAGAGAAAGTGGAAAACCTGGATAAAATCTAGCAAATGTTTGTTTAAAAGCATCACAGAGATTCAGGGCAGAGAGAGGATTTGAGAAGCAGAGAACCCAGAGAGCAGGGAATCCAAAAGAGGTAGTTCTAATAGGTAGTTAGAAGCTAAGGTAAAACCCCACTTGACAAAGATGTGATCACCCAGAGGCTCAAATTATCTCTACAATTTTTCATACACAGGGTCAGGCAATAAAATTACTAGCCATACCTGTAGATTAGATAATAGACTTTAAAATATCTGTGATTAATAAATTAACAAAATTAGATGAGAAGATAAGGAATTTGGGTATATTATTGGTAACTATGATAAAAATAAAATGGAAATTCTGGAACTTAGAAATAAACTGACCTAAATTAAAAATTCAATGGATGGGTTTAAGGGCAAACTAGAAACAGCTGAAGAACAGATTGATGAACTGGAAGGCAAACCAATAGAAGATTTAATGTTAATACGCAAAATCAGCAAAGTACACTAGAAAGTGGTTTCTTCTTACATAACTGGTGGCATATAAATCTATATAATACTTTTTAGAAATGCTTTGGCAATGTAAGTCAGATATTAGGACAAAAAAGATTCATATCTTTTGATCCAGTAATCTTATGTCTGGGAATATCTATTAAGGAAATAAGTTTCTGGTGTGAATTTTTTTATGTATAAAGATGTTTACTACAGACTTACTCATGATACTAATAACTGTGCAGACAATATTTTAAGTGCTTTACTTCAATTAATGCAGTTAATCCTCCCAAAAACCCAAGTAGGTGGAAGTAGTTACTACTAACATCCTCATTTTACAGATGAGAAAACTGAAACATTGAGAGGTCAAGTAGCTTGCTCAAGATTATGCAGCTAGTGAGTAGAGAAACATTTGAACCAGGCTTTCTGGCTCCATAGCCTGCCCTTGAATCTGCCCTGGGCTGTTGGAAACAACCTAAATAGCTAACAACTGGAGACTTGTCAAGTAAGTAATATACCCAGTCTATGTAATATTATGCAGGTATTAAAAATGAGCATCATGAACACTTAGCAACATAGGAAATACTTCTGATATAATATGAAGAGAAAAAAATCAAAATCGTAGAACTACAGCAAATTAAAAAATATGCATATAAATATGATTGAAATCAAATATTCCCAAAGGCTAATGACAATTATATGACATTAGTAGCACTTCTTCCTTTTTCTCTTCTTCTGTTTTTCACTTTCTCAAAATTTTAATAATGTGTGTTTCATACACATGCACACATCTATCTATCTATCTATCTATCTATCTATCTATCTATCTATCTATCTATATGTATGTATTTCAGTCGTTGTGCTTCATATATAAAATACCACTAACTATACATAAAAAAGCAGGAGAGTGTATTGGGTAAGAACCCGGGCTCTGGAGCCAGACTGCCTGGGTCACCACTTCCTAGGTGTGTGACCTTGGGCAGGTTGTTGAACTTTTGTTTCTAAGTTTCTAAGCTTATCCTGTAAAATGAGGATAATTATAGTACTTACAGGGTGATTGTGAGGATTAAATATGCTTAAAATATATTTAGAACAGTGTCTGAAAGTTAAATATGTAAGCATGATCTAGTATTGTTATTTTACAAAGAAACCTCATCATTTTAGACCCCGAGTGACCAGACAAAATGACAGTTCCCTCCTGCCAGTCCTCTGATAGGCACACACATTAGCGACAAGTTTTGTTTCTATATATAGATCCTTGTCCTTATTCTGAATTGCCCAATGCAGAGCTGTCTAGGAACCAAGAACCATTGGCTGAGGGGGCACTTCTGAACTCTTTCCAAGAAGCAGTGATAATCAAATGTCTGATATGTTTTCTATTTTATCTTGAGGACAAGAGTGATTGAAACTGCCCATTGAAGCCAACATTGTACTAACATCAACATCGGTAAACTAGAGAAAATATTTATCTATTTCCCCAATTTTTACTCTTCTCTGGATGAATGACTTTTTACCAGCTCCCTGATCTGACAGTTTGAGTAACAATAGAAAGCTGTTTATGAAATAGGACATCTGTTGTAACTTAATTTTTCTGAATTGAACACCCCAGGGAGCCTGAAAATGTGTTTTGGAACTTTTTTCCACCTGGCAGATCCAAAAAGTTCAGAAGATTTTTATAGAATTTCCTCTTCCCTTAAAATAGTTTCATTGAAATTGTAAACAAACAAACAAAAAATCTGTTGGATGCCAAGATTTACTGTTGGCTCTCTTAATGGCTAATGAAGTGATAAGACCTTGCAATAACACTTGCCAATTAAAAATTAACGGGTGCTTGTCAGGTAGAATATTGCAGTACCTATTAGAGGAAAGGATGCAGATAGGTATTTCATACATTTGTGAGAACGATCACCTTTGATGTGTCTGTCTGGTTTTCAGGATGTTGCAGGTCTCTGCTCTTGTAAGACTTTGGCTGCAGAACCCAGGGCTGAACACCTCTAGGTGAGTTAGCTGTTTCCTGAATACTGTCTGTCTCCTACCCGTCTCTGTCAAGGCCCTGCAATGTTCATTGGCAATGTCCTTTGGTTAAACTCTCTAAGAATTCTCAGTTCTATGATACGGTAAATGTCTAACAAATTGCTTTAATGTCTGAGCTTTACATTGTTGCTAAAGTTATCGTTCCTTTTGGGGTTATTCATGAACTGGATCTATCTCTGGATTTGTCTTCCCCACCCCCACTTTGTACCAGGATTTACCACAAACCTTTCCCACTCTCTCTCCTAACAGGCATGTTCTGTTAGAGCACAATACCACTTAAGACAGATTCACTGTCTAAGTCATAGGCCAGCATTTCACAGTGATGACTGGTCACATGGTAATAGTGAAATTCCTTTCCCCTTTTGCAGAAATGGATCAAAAGACTCAACCAGCAAATGGTGAATCAATGACAAGTCAATAATAAGGTGAGAGATTATGTTACTAAAGGATGACCTCAAGATTATTACTATACAATGAATTAATTTCTTATGTAGATAAATGCTGGACAATTTATTATTGCCATAGTATAACTGGAGGTGATTTCATGTGTTTGTATCGCCACATGAGGTTAAATGGAATTGGGTATGGTCCCCTCTCTAACATGTAATCGGTGTCTGAATTTGCTGAAATTTCTAAACAATTCCGGGCTTCAGGATCTCCCCTTGAAAATAGGAGCAATAGTATTTATCTGTTAGGCTATGAAGGCAAAATGTTAGAACAGGAAAACACCTGACACCCAGCAATCACTTCATGAGTGCTAGTCCTCCCTACCCCTATTTATGTAGATAGAAAATAAAGAGATAACAGAGAACTCTGCTTTCATCTTCAAATATATTATTCTTCATTGATTATCTAATGAATAGAACTGTTGACTCAGAAAATAGGTGGAATTTTCATCTTTCCAACCTTCATTCTTTTTTCATTTCTTAGAGCTATAAGCTGAGAGCTGAGTGCTGTGGGAGACAAAAAGGAGAGTGATCCTATTCTCATGGAGATTGGGATCTAAAAAGGATATAAAACCTATATATATATATTTTGTATATATATAAAACATATATATATATATTTAATGCCAGTAGAAAGACAAAGTATTGTCTTCGTTTATTAGAAGGAGAAATTATTTTAACTAGGGTTATCATGGAAGGCTTCATGGAGGAGGTAGTGACCAATTAGGCTTTAAAGAAGAGGTACAATTTGGGCAGCAGTGAGAGAGGGGATACAGTGAACCAAGACTACTTGAAGTAGCATGATTGGGTGGAAAAAACAGTAACCTGGGACTGGGAAGACCTGGGTTGGCAATACCTCGGTTGAACTACTCCCTGGCCTTCAATTTCTTTATCTGTGAAATGTGTAAAATAATCTCTGCCCCATTGGTCTTTCAGGAGTCTGGAGAAGATCAAAGGGGAGCTTGCATATGAGATCTCTTTGGAAACCCTGAAGCACTCTGTGAATGAAAAGGGTAAATTTTTTCTCTGTTCCCTTGTACCATAAACTCCATGAGAGCATTTGACAGGGTCAGTTGTGTTGGTCTTTAAAAAAAATGTTTCATGAAGTATAAAAAAAAAAAAAAATCACACTATAAACCTTAAGTCTTTACAATTTTTATTTGCCAATTATGTGTCAATAAAGAAGGGGGAAGTTTTGATAAAACAATGAAGCATTGATTGAGTGAATGAATCCATGAATGTTATGGATGTTATGTCATGTCTGTGTCCCCCGAAAATTCATATGCTGAAATCCCACCTCCTAAGAGGTGGGGTCTTTGGGAGGTGGGACCTTTGGGAGGTAATTAGGTTTAATGAGGTCTTGAGGGCAGAGCCCCATGATGGAATTAGTGCCCTTAGAAGAGGAGGAGACACCAGCACTTTCTCTCTCCACCATGTGATGATACAGTGAGAAGGCAGCCATCTGCAAGCCAAGAAGAGGGCCCTCACCAAGAACTGAATCTACTGGTACCTTGATCTTGGACTTCCCAGCCTCCAGAACTATGAAAAATAAATGTCTGTTGTTTAAGCCACCCAGGTGTGGTGTTTTGTTATAGTAGCCTGAGTGGACTAAGACAGTGTGTAAGTAAATGAGTGAAAAAAAACAAAGGCACAGAGTAGGAAAACATACAATATGAACAAGGAATAAAGGGTTATCTTTGAATGTATGTGGTGTAGCTGGGTGTTAGGAGTGTAACCCATAGCTAGGTGGATGGATGGAATGCAGTGGTCCTCAGGGTATGTTCTGTGGACCAGCAGCATCAGTATCATCTGGGAACTGGTTAGAAATGCAAGTTCCTGGGCCCCCACCCAGGCCTACTGAATCTGAAACTCAGGGGTGGGGCCAGCAATCTGTTTTAGCAATCCCTCTAGGTCATTCTGGTGCAAAGTAAAGTTTTGAGAACCATTACTTTGTACTAACATGGGGAGTCTGGAAATTATTCTGCTGTAAATTCAGTGTTAATGAAGGTTTTTAGCTGTGGATGGATATAATCAGAGCTGTATTTCTAGGACGATGAGGCATGAAGCTTTGCCTCAAAGAATTTATGACTTCAATGTAAAAAGCACCACTGGAAATACTGGAAAACACATTGTATTTGCCAAGCCCCAGAGTGAAAGATTTTGATTTTTCCTGATTCCAGATAGTATCCACATCATCAGCTAAGAAGCAAAGCAGAGCAGGCATTGCTCCCAGGCACTGGAGAAACCAGCTTGGTCTACAGAGACCAGGCAGGATGAGAAAGTTTCTGTGAAAATACATGAGTTAGGGCGCCTGGGTGGCTCAGTTTGTTAAGCGACTGCCTTCGGCTCAGGTCATGATCTTGGAGTCCCGGGATCGAGTCCCGCATCGGGCTCCCTGCTCGGCAGGGAGTCTGCTTCTCCCTCTGACCCTCCCCCATCTCATGTGCTCTCTCTCTCTCATTCTCTCTCTCTCAAATAAATAAATAAAATCTTTTTAAAAAAAAAAAGAAAAGAAAATACATGAATTAACTGTCAGATATGGTCCTAACTGATCTTAGAGTGGCCTCTTAGTCCTGGCCAGCTGTGGGGAAACATGAAATGGAACCTCCCCTGCCAAGACAAATGGGCAGTGCTTCCTGCAACTGGCCTAACTAGTTACACTGGCTGAAAATGCAGCTCTTTAGTTAGGGCTGGTGGAGACAGGTTTGCCAAAGGAGAAGGCATTGTGCGGAAGAGAAATGAAGAGCCTCAAGGGAAAGCAGTTATCTGAAGAGAGAGTCTAGAAGCCCATAATACGAGTGTCAGGTGGGGAGGGAGTGGGGAGGAGAAGGATGAGGGCTGTTCAGAGTGGTTTTGGACTGCTGGGATGACCAATTATCTGGGTTTGCCCAGGACTCAGGATGTTCAGGACCATCCCTGTCAAAGCAGGGCAGTTGGTCACCCTACAACTATGCACCCTCAGCTGTGTTGAAGACCTGGGGAGGAGACCTTGTGAAAGCAGAAAATTCACTGCTCTAAACCTTGTTTCTCAAGATATTGTTTACAGACTGGCAACGTCAGTATCACCTGGGAGCTTGTTAGAAATGCAGCTCCTCAGGCCCACCCTAAACCGACAGGATCAGACCTGCATGACAGCAAGAGCCCCAGGTGATTTGCATGCACATGGGTTGAGAAAGACTGATTTAGAAGATGCTGTGAGCCCTGGGTGGCTTCCCCCCCGGTTAAAAAAAAAAAAAAAAAGTAGCACTGGTGGGGAACAGAGAGAATTTCTTGGCTGTGATATAGCTAATGTCCAGGTTGGCCTGATTCTAAGCTGAAACTGCATCAACACTGCCCGGGAAGGAGCAGAAGCATCGAGAAGGTTATATACTAGGGGTACCAGGAATTGAGAGCAAAGGGAGAAAAGGACAGATGACACAAAACAGCCAAGAGGGGCCTCCTAAGCTATTAATAGTAGTAGTTGTAGGAATGTAGGAAAGCCAGAAATCCAGCAATTACGTGATGAGAGTAAAGCTAGAGAAATACTCTTCCGTTTCTATACTGTGACCCCGTTTTGGTAAAAAAAAAAAAACAAAAAAAAACAAGCTGATGTGGGTCTGGGAAATGAATTATGCTTGAAAATGTGGAGTCACAGCACTGTGGGTAAGCTTTCAGAGAAAGATAAAAGAGGATCACCCACTAAAAGTATTCAACTTTAGCATCTTGGCTTTACTCACTTGCATATCACTCAGAAATGCAAAGCAAGTTTAGTTTTTTCTTCTTCTCTACCTGGTCTGATCATTATGGGTACCAGCTCTGCATTCTAGCAAAAACAATCTGCACTTAATGAATAGTGTTTCATTTTTCTCCAGCTTGAACATAATTCCTTGACTTTAAACATTCTAACTAGTGGTTCTTAAACTCAAACATGCAGCAGAATCACCTAGAGGGCATGTTAAAACACAGATTGTTGGGCCCACCCCCAGGGTTTCTGATTCAGTACATCTGGTAGCAACTTAGAATTTGTATTTCTAAGGAGTTCCCAGTTGATGCTGATATTATTGGTCCAAGGAACACACTTTAGAACCTCTGATTCATGCTGTTCAGCATGTCATTCCCATCCAAAGGTGATGGTTTCAAAAGCCTTAGATGAATACTTGTCAAGTTGGTTGACTTTCTGTTCTATCTTGGATCAAATACATGATCTTCCTGCATATGACGAGAGTGCAGCTCGTGGCACAAGCCACTCACAGTGCCAGCTCAACGCATCTGCACTGGTCTGTATCTTGTTCAACAAGACAAGCCCTCTGGTCACATGGTAGGATGTCCTGGCAATGTCAGTTTGTGATGAAAATTTCTAAATACCAATTCTCACTTGTATCTAGCTCACTTCGGACCAGTAATAATTTGTGGACTGGCACCGGCCCATGGACCACGTTTTGAGTAATGCTGTTTAGATGACTCAGTCTCTCTCACATTCTTTACACCCCTATTCCTTCTCTTGCCCAAGATTGCATTCAGGTATACAAGGTGGTAGGGGTCTTACCTTATCCTTGTGGGACCCTTGTAGCATGCACCATCCTCTAGATACTCAGTGATCCTCGGATTCATTTTTTCTCTGGAATGGGGACCCCTGAAATGCAACTAGGTCCCGCCTGATCTTTAGGAATGATGTGTGCTGCCACAGCCCTGAACACTCCCCGTAGTACCCAAGTTCCATCCCTGTGGCCTCTCTCTCTGCTCCTCGATGGCCGCTCGTCTACATATGAGTAGTCTCACTGGGGAAGTAAGAAGTTCCAGAGACTCCTGTTTCCCACATAAAGGCCATTAGGAGGCAGGAATGCCTTCTTTCTGGTTTTTTGGGGTTTTTTTTTTTTTTTTTTAAATATTTCTTTATTTGAGAGAGAAAGAGCGCGCGAGCGAGCCCGGGGCGGGGAGGGGCAGAGGGAGAGGTAGAGGAGAATCTCAAGCAGAATTCCCACTGAGCATGGAGCCCCACTCGGGGCTCAGTCTCATGACCCCGAGATCATGACCTAAGCTGAAATCAAGAGTCAGATGCTCAACAAACTGAGCTACCCAGGTGCCCTGGCAGGGATGCCTTCTAAGTCCTATGCATCTACCCACCTGCTGCCGCCTCTGTTCAATTGCTTCTGAGCCCCGTGTAATGTGATGCTGAGCCAAATAGTCAGAATCCCCTAGAAGCAGTGGAGTGCTGGAAGGAACTCATAACCTAGCCAATTGTTAGTTTTTCAGGAATTTTGCACCCCAATTGTTCAACATGGCCATTATTAAAAATTAAATGATAAGAACATATATTTAAACAAGTTATATTAAAAGCAAAGGTAATTAATACTCAAAATCATCACCTCCTATTTATTTTACTACATTGGACTATTAACCTATGTTTAACATATGTGTTTGATAGAAATACTATATAATAATGTACTACCACACAGCTTTTCTAGCTCTGTTCAGAGATACCATGTTGATAGCTTCAAATCAGCCAACATAGGAGTATTTGCACCGTGGAAATGAGCAAACATTATAAATCAGGGCTCCATTCTCCCTCATCTCCACCTCCCCGAGGCCAGTTGTTAAACATTTACCAACACACCATTGCTTAGAGCCTAAATCTGGGAGTGAGCTACTAACCCAATGGCTTCCGGTCACCCTTTACTTACCTAGATGTTACAAAACTGCCCTTCCCCTGAAGATTAGCCCCTAAAAGGTGTATGTGGAAGAGATATTGATGACTAGAACCCTGATACCATCTTATCTACTTGCCCTACTTCTGTCTCCCTTCTCTCCCTACCGTCTCTTGGGACCGGAAGAAGCAATTTTCTGGCTTTTTATTTCCTCCACAGTGTATCCTTATACATTAAGGATAAACATTCATGGCCTAACATTACTCTCTGACATTCTTTCCCCAAACCTATAAATTTAGTCTAGTTATAAGAAAACATGAGATCAAATTGAGAGACATTCTATGAAACTTCTATCTACTCATAAACTGTAAGATCGTGAAAGACAAGGAAAGACCAAGAAACAATCATAGCTTGGAGAAGACTAATGTACTAGATTCAATGTGGTATCACAGATTGGACCCTGGAAAAGAAAGAAAATTTGTAGGAAAACTGGGGAGATCCAAATAAAGTCTGAGTATGGTACCAATGTTAATTTCTTAATTCCAATTATTGTATCACATTCTATAAAATGTTAACATTATATGAAGCTGGGTGAAGGGTATATGAGAACCCTATACTGTATTTGCGGCTCTTCCGTAAATATACAATTATTTCCAAGTAAAACTAATGAAGGGAAAAATTCATGACCTAAGTAATAGGTGGGATAGATATTTTTTTTATTCTATGGAGAAAACTTATGATCTGCATCCACCTGCTTTGTGATATGCAAACGGGAGGAAAGATATGGGTGGTAGAAAATCTTTTTCTCTTACTGAAGCTTGACTTTCAAGTGTTTCATCCTTTGCAGAATAAAAACAAATTTTAGATGTTGTAGGCTGAACAATAATTCTTTCTTTCCTTTTCTTAATAATCTTGCCGTAATGAAACGAATCCCCCTGCCCTGAAAG